CGCACCCCCCGCCCAGCCCCGCCCTCCCCCGGCTCTCACCGACCCCGCATCCCCTCAGCGCTCCTCGGGCCTCGCCACCGCCCCCCCGGGCCCATCGCCTCGGCGCCGCCGCTCCCCGCCGCTCCCCGCCGCCCGCCCCCTCCTTCCCTTCCTCCCGCCGCCCTCCTTCGGGTCGCGGTTCTCCCCGTCCCCGCAGTCCCGCCCCGCGCGGCCCGAACCCCCGCGTTGGGAACGGCGCCGGCCCCGCTCCTCGCGACCGACCTCCTCACAACCAACTCTCTGGCGCCGGTCCGCCGCCGCTCGGTACTACAACTCCCAGGAGCCCCCGCGAGCCGCTTCCGGGGCGACGCCCGCACGCAGCGTCGGCCCTTCCGCCGCAGTACCCGGATGTGAAACCCCGCGCTCGCTTTCCCCGCCCGCCCTCACCTCCAACTTCGCCTCCTGTCCACGAGAGGGCGCCGGAGGGCGGCGGCGTGGGCGCGGGGCGGTATCCATGGCAACGGCGGCTGCCTGCGGCCTGCGGGGCCTGTGAGGCCCACAGGTTCTGTGAGGCCTGAGGGTTCACAGCATCACAGAACGGTTGGGTTGGAAGGGAGCTCAAGGCTCACGAAGCTCCAACCCCCCACCAATGCAGGGCCACCAACCTCCCCATTGCACAGCAGCCCAGGCTGCCCAGGGCCCCATCCAACCTGGCCTCCAACACCCCCAGGGATGGACGGGGCATCACAGCCTCTCTGGGCAGCTGTTCCAGCCCCTCCCCGCTCTCACAGCACACAACTTCCCCTCACATCCAACCTCCAGCTGCCCTCCCTCAGCTCCAAACCATTTCCCTCGTCCTGCTGCCATCTCCCCTTGCACACAGCTGACTCCCCTCCTGGCTGCAGGCTCCCTTCAGGCACTGCAGGCTGCACTGAGGTCACCCCGCAGCTTCTCTCCTCCATGCTGAACAAGCCCAGCTCCCTCAGCCTGTCTTTGCAGGGAGGTGCTGCAGCCTCTGAGCATCTTTGTGGCTCCTCTGGCCCCTCTCCAACAGCTCCCTGTCCTTCTTGCCCTGGGGGCCCCAGACCTGGATGCAGTGCTCAGGTTCCACAGGTTCTGTGGGTTCCCACCCCTCCATGCCCACAGCCTCTGCTCTCCAGTGCCACATCCACACAGGTCCTGATCACCTCCCTCTGGAGAAGGAACTGTTCCCACCACCCTTCCTGACCCCACCTCACCCAACCTGAGGCTGTCCCCTCGTCCTACTGCTGTTACCCCGCAGCATTGCCTTATTGCTGCACAAAGCTTTTCAGCACAATAAACTTGCCAGAGTACCAATCCCTTTGTTCTGTTACACTGCAATGACATTTGAAGTCATTCTTACTATTCAAAGAGTTTTAGTGAGTGAAAAGTTGAATGCATGATTTAAGCTTACAGAACTGCTGATTTCTTACCGTGGTCTTCAGGGCACTGCTGTCTTCATGTCACTTGTACACAGGTAAAAAGGTGATGGAAAGGGGAATGCCTGAAGGAAAGAGCATGAAGGTGGGATTTCCTCAGGGCTTATCTCTCACAGAACTGTAGGGGGAGGTGACCGGGACCTGGAAGTGGCCGCAGATGCTGAGGGAGCTCCAGCACTGCACCTTCCCCCAGAAGCTGCAACATGAAGTCCAGTTGTATTTGCAGACTGAAGGCAGAAGGGTGGGTGGGAAATCCCCATCCCTGAGCAGCGTTCACTGATAAGGGCAGTAAGGCAAAATGCTAAGTGAGGAACTGATGCCATTATGACAGGCTTCACTTTAAAGCCTGCATCACCATCCACCAGTCGTTCTATAAATGACCTCAAGTAAAGCAATGGGTTTCAGGAGGCTTAGAATGGAAAACTGCTCCATGCAGCGACTCTGTAGAGAACACGTCACACCGTCATGATCGTCTGATTACAGCCTTCTGCTTGCTTCTGCTTGCTTCCTTTGCAGTCAGAGGGTTTGGTGTGTTGGGATTGGACTTGGTGGCCTTTGTGCTCTTTTCCATCCTTTCTGGTCCCATGGTTCTATGGTTCTACTGATGACAATGTTTTTACTGATATTTTGTAGTCTTCTTTCTATGCAACTTGGGAGGTGCTGCGAGGTCTGACTGTAGGCAAGCTCCAAATGCAGTTTGGCGCTTCTTGTAACCGTGTAACGGGCACAAAACCACAGGGATGCTCTGATTTCTCCCTGTGATTTCCATTTTCACAATTAACTCTTTAGCTAATCATCTGGCTTTGTTCCGAAGAAACTGCTGCATACCCTGCCCAGCACAACCAAAGGCAGCCTCTCCCCTATGGCATGCTCACTACGTGCAACTGGCTGCTCAAGAGTAGCTGCGATGGGGGCTGGCTTTACTCCTTTTCCACACCAACGTTGGCAGCTTTGGTTTTTAATTATTTTTGTTAGTGCTTCGGTTGGGTTTATGTGAAACTAATTAGTGGGCTTGGATGGCAGCAGGGAAGGGGCCAGGTTAGCAGCATCAGAGCTGGATCAGGAGCGAGGACGGCCCCGCTGCCCACCCTGCAGTTGTGTCTCTGGCAAGTGGAGCTCCTCATAATGAAAAAACACTGCATTCAAGCTAACAAACAGTGCTTTCTGAGTTGGACAGCTGTTTGATTTTCAGGAAATGCAAGCAGTGAAGTCTTGTTGTAATTCTGGTGGAACCTTCTTTCCCATTTGCTTTTCTGTACGATCTTCTGTTACGGCCCAGATACCACAGCTCCCATTCAAGGAAATAAATGGGTGACAAGTGTTGGCATTTTGGATCTTTTCACATCTGACACCTTCACAGCCTGCTTGCATTGTGCTGAACTTCATGCTCGTGCAATCTGCATGTGGTTACAATGCCTTTTTGCTCTCCTTGCAGCTCTGAGGACAAAAGATGCAATGCTGTGTTGATGTCATTTCATAGAAGCTTGGTGTCAGACGAGCTGAGAGCATCTGCTGCTCTTTCTGCCACAATACCTGGAGGATATAGAGAAACACAGCAGTGTAGAAGAAAATGTTTTAATTCAAGCTTTCTTAGGCTGCTTCTATGCTGAAAGCTTAATGCAATTTATGGAAGGGCTGCGAGGGCTAATTTGGAAGGTTGCTGTAGGGGACCTGCTTGGAAGGTTGGGTGTCACTGCTGCAGTTTTTGAGCTCATCACTGTTTCTCTGAGGTCAGGAGCCTTTCTGCCTTTCTCTGTGGGATGCTGCCACAGCTGCTGCGGTGACGTGGAACCTTGAAGGCAAACTGCTCCAACTTCTCACAAGTGCAAACTCATTGCATGCAGCTTAGGGATGGCTTAAAGAAACTAGTGGGAAAACTGCCTGGAGAGGAGGCAGAGGAGCAAGCAAAGCCACCTGCTGAACAGAGCGTGCCTGAGGTGCTGCACTGCTTCCTAACAGGAAAGGCTGGGTGCTACTGGAGCCAGTGAACGTGAGCTAACAAGAGGTGCATTGGGGAAACGCAGCTTCTGAGGCAGGCGTTAGAACCCCTCACTGTGGTTATCAAGGCCAAACCAAAAGTAGTTTCAAAATTGTCGATTTTCAAACCAGATCCTCACCTTCCCACTGCAGCTGAGTCTGTCTGGCCCCAGGTCGTCGTTCCGAATGGAACAAGGGCCATTTCCTGAGCTCCCTGCTGTGAAGGAGGTCGCTCACGTCCCCTGCAGCACCTCTGGTGGCTCTGGTGCCGTGGATGATGGCATCAGAAAGGAGCCAGCGGTCGGGTGAGAAACGGCTTCTTAAAGCAAGGGCAAGGATGGTGGGGAAACCGGGCAGCCCGGCTGCTGAGGCAGTGTGGAGGGGGGGCCTCTGATGGAACCTGTGGGACGGGGCTGTCAGGGAGTGACACATCAGCTCTCTTCTTTAATATGAGCCTGCATGCTTTCATCTCTAATCTCCCCTAATGGCTCTCGTGATGAGACAGGAAGGGATTTGTGTCCTGGGAGCAGAAACGCTCCATGGGCTGAGCGCCGTGTCCTCCCTGGGCTTAATGAGAAACAGCCTAAGATCCCATCTCATCTCATCTCACTCTGTGAGGTAACCTTACAACCATTCCCCACTCAGTGTTAGGATGAGGCAGTCATAATTCCTTGGAAGTGGACTGTCTTATTAAGGACCTCAATGGGAAAAAGGGGCATTTTGCTCTTCTTTACCTCCTTAAATATTCCTTTTTCTCCTCCTTTTCCACTTTTGCCTTGTTTCTGGCACCCCTTTGTCATTTGTTATAGCAATAGTTGTTACAAACGGCACAATTTTCCTCCGAACATCATCAGCCTGAACTTATTTGAGCAGCAAGGATGCCATCCCCACAGCTGCAGCCGTGCCCTGTCTGAGCTGCATCTGCTCCCGTGTCGCTTCCAGGTTGGTTCCAGAAGTTCCCATCCAGAGAAAACCCAGAGCTTCTGTGAGAGCAACGCGATGGTTTCATCTCCTGTTCCACTCCTGGAGGTGATTCTTGGCTGTGTTCATTAAAATCAGAGCTCTCAAGCTGCGGCCGCATCTGGCCCTACACAAAAGCAGAGAATCTCCCCTCTGCTGCAGAGGAACCTCGGAGTGTTTCTGCAGTGTGGTTGCAGCCCCAGTTCTGATCTGCTCTTTGTTCCTCAGCTGTCGCAGCACTGATGTGCACCGAGTCCTGAGCTTCTGTGACAGAAGGCACAGTGCTGGCAGCAGGTGGCCAAGTGGCAGCACATGGTCCAGGTGGCCAAGAGAGCCAGCGGCATCCTGGCCTGCATTAGAAACAGCGTGGCCAGCAGGAGCAGGGAGGTGAGCATCCCCCTCTACTCAGCACTGGTGAGGCCGCACCTCGAGTGCTGTGTTCAGTTTTGGGCTCCTCACTGCAAGAAAGACATTGAGGCCTGGAGTGTGTGCAGAGAAGGGCAGCGAAATGGTGAGGGGTCTGGAGCACAAATATGAGGAGCGGCTGAGGGAGCTGGGATTGTTCAGTGTGAGAAGAGGAGCTCAGGGCAGAGCTCACTGCACTGTGCAACCTCCTGAAGGGAGGCTGTGGTGCAAAAGGGTCTGGCCTCTTCTCCCAGGCAAATAGTAGGAGCCGAGGAAACGGCCAGAAGTTGTACCAGAGGAGGTTTGGGTTGGACATGAGGAGGAACTTTTTCTCTCAGTGGTCAGGCACTGCAATGGCTGCACAGGGAGGTGGTGGAGTCGCCGTCCCTGCTGGTGTTCAAGAGGAGCCTGGATGAGGAGCTGCAAGATATGGTTTAGTGCTTGTGGTACTGATAGGAATGGGAGGGGGGTTGGACTGGATGATCTTGCAGGTCGTTTCCAACCTTGTGATTCTGTGATTCTGTGATTCAGCAGAGGCTTAACACGAATTCCATGGACTGGGAAAGAAGTGTCTTGAACCAAGAACGGAAGATTAAGCTTAAAAACATTTCTTCAGTCGGATCCTCATTCCTTTCCAGGCAGGTTGCTGCCTGCGCTGAGAGGCTCTGAAGTCTGCAAACAATTGCTGATGGCAGAAGCGTACAGGAGAGCTGCAGATCTCCACCTGCGCCGTTTGCGTGACTCACTTTTTCTGACTAGCAGGCATTTGAAATACTTCTTGTAGCTGTATTTGACTCGTGGCAGGAAGATCGTTTGAATGCGAGCTTTTAATCGTTATCATTTCAGCTCAAATGCCAAATGTTTGGTGTTTGTGAGGAGCAAATGCCCAGCAGCCATCCTGCAGACAGCAGTGCTCTGTCTGACCGCGGTGTGAAGGTGCTGCTCGGGACCAGCAGCGCTCAGAGCTGTGACAAGGCTGTGATTTCTTTCCACTTGAATTTATACAGAGGGAAGAAGTAATTTCTGCTTAGCTGTGCAGAACTGCATCCTGTGTTGGTTTGTGATAGCCAAAATAATGAGAGAATCACAGAAGGCCTGCAGTTGGAGAAGCCCTCTGAGGTCCCCAGGTTCAGCCCCACGCAGCCCCGTCGTTCTCACTCTCTGTGTCCCACATCTGCATGGTTCTGAGCACCTCCTGGGATGGTGACCCTGCACAGCCTATTCCAATACCTCGGTACCCTTGCTGAGAATTATTTTCCCTAATATCCAGCTGAACCTCCTTTGGCACGACTTGAGGCCATCACCACTCGTCCTTTGTGCTGCCAAGGCTTTAGCTTTCTGTTCTACGATCGAGAACGTCTCTGCACGCTACCATTTCTTTAGCACAGTTCATGGCGTATTTTCTTTGTAGAAATAAAGGTGGGAGGGCAAAGCTTTTGAGTCAGCCCTGTGCCAGTAAAGCTGTTTGCTTTACGCGTTGAGAGCTGCGACATCGAGTTCATGAAGACTGTGGTCAGAGCTTCCTTGGGAGCAGCACTTCCTCCACCCGTCCAGGTTATTGGAAGAGGATTCCAGCATGGTTTGAGTTGGAAGGGATCTCTAAAGGCCCCTGGTCCAAATCCCTGCAGCGCACAGGGATGCCCACAGCTCCACCAGTGCTCCCAGATGCCCACAGGCGGGATGGGCTCCACACCTCTGTGCAGCGCCTCAGCACCCTGAGCGTGTGAACTGCCTCCTCACATCCACAGGAATCTCCCCTCTTTTGGATTGAAGCCTTCTCCCCTTGTCCCACCCCACAGACCCCACTTCAGAGTCAGTCCCTTCCTTCTCACAGCCCACTGCTCCTTGCGGGGCTCAGTTTCCAGTGCAGCACAGCAGCAGGGTGCCAGCATTTGGATTTCAAGCCTTGATGCCTGCTGGAAAGTGTGCACTGCAAGCACACGGCTCGTCAGATCTCCATATCTTGTGCAAACAGGTTTTATGAAGCCACTTTTTGAAGTTTCACTTTAGGAAGCGTTGTGGGAGGTTGGGTGGATGCTCATCTGTTGAATGGAATATTTGCTTCTATCTGGCTAGAATTTCCTGAGTTAGTCATTTTGGTTTTGCTGCAAAGGTCTCTGGAAGGATTTGAGTTGCTCCCTTCAATGGGCTTCTAAACCTTTGAAATGTCACGTTCAGTTTGGAAATAATTTGAATGTTTACCTCACAGCACAAACTGCAAAGCTCGCTTCCATAGACTTTGGCAGTATGTAAGGGCTTTTGCCTGGCTTGAGTGGTTTTCTTCCTCTTTCTACTTCTCTGCAAGAAAAGCCATCTTAAATTATTCTCCTTATTGCCAGTGCCTGTATTGTCCCAGAATAAACGCAGTTTCCTTTTGCATCTGCTGTCCTGAGTCAGGTGTGTTGGGTCTCCCCTCTGGTAAATCATGGAATTGAGTTGGAAGGGGCCTCACTGGGCTGCGATGTGCATCAGTGCATCAGTGTGCAGCGTGTCAGCGTGCTGTGAGAGAGCAGCGCCGCCTCAGCTCTGCTCCCTGCACAGCCTGTGAGCTCTCACGTGCAGACCTTCGTCTCCGCTGGTTCTTGGCTGGGCTCAGTTGGTTTTGGGCCCCTCACTACAAGAAAGACATTGAGGCTCTGGAGCGTGTGCAGAGAAGGGCAACGAAATGGTGAGGGGAGTGGAGCACAGGGCTGATGAGGAGCGGCTGAGGGAGCTGGGATTGTTCAGTGTGAGAAGAGGAGCTCAGGGCAGAGCTCACTGCACTGTACAACTGCATGAAGGGAGGCTGTGGTGCAAAAGGGTCTGGCCTCTTCTCCCAGGCAAATAGTAGGAGCCGAGGAAATGGCCACAAGTTGTACCAGAGGAGGTTTGGGTTGGACATGAGGAGGAACTTTTTCTCTCAGTGGTCAGGCACTGCAATGGCTGCACAGGGAGGTGGTGGAGTCGCCGTCCCTGGTGGTGTTCAAGGCGCCTGGATGAGGAGCTATGAGAGATGGTTTAGTGCTTGTGGCACTGATAGGAATGGGAGGGGGGTTGGACTGGATGATCTTGCAGGTCGTTTCCAACCTTGTGATTCTGTGATTCTGTGTGGGTAACCAAACATTCCTGTGCTTTGTGTCTGTGCTGAGAGGTGCTCATCAGCACTGCACGGCTTTGGTTTTCTTCCAGAGCTGTGGGAAGGAGCAGGGTGCTGAGGAACCCTCCGCAGTGGAGATGTAGGCTGCGCCACCTCCAGCCTGACATGCGGAGCTGCTGGCTCTGCTCTGACGTTCTGGACATAACGGTTCTGAAGAGCCATAGACTTTCAGAGCAGGGTGCCTCACACGACATAACAAAGCATGGGAGAGCGGTAACTTGTCAGGTGCTTTGTATCCAAGTAACTGGAACTTGTCTTAACTGCATTGCAGCATTTAACCAAATTAGCTTATGATTACCTTTAATTCACTGTAAAGCAGCTATTTTTCTCAGGCAATTATGATGTTTATACAGACACGAATGCACGCAGTTGATTGTTCTGCATAATATTTTCTTCCATTTACAAATGTGTGCAATCATACCTCAGGTGCTGCACACTCCTAGGCCACACCACGAACTGCCTTCATTTTCCCCTTAGGGAATGCTCACCTTCCAGCTCCTTCCCACCGGTCCCTGGTGCCAAGGAGGCGTTTTGCTGATAGAGGAGTGGTGAGCATACTGAAGATTGACAAGAGAAAGCCCTTTGTGTCTCAAAGCATGAGCTGGGGAGGATGGAAGGATACGTGACTGCAGTGGTGCAAAGCTGCAGGGCGGGCAGCTCTGCTCACTCATGATAAAAAGTGTGGAAGGGGAGTAATAGTGTCAGCCATGGCCATCAGCATCTCCTGGGCAGTGCTCATTCACTGCAGCCCAAGCTTACAGTGATCTAGAATAACAGTGGGTGCTAACGGGACACTGAGGGATGCTGTGCCAGTCTCAGTTACAGCAGCCTGGACTGACAGCAGAGCTGCATGACCCTGAAAGCAGCAAATGACTGCATCGTGGCTGTGGGTGACTCTTCTATGACAAACAAATAGGACTGGGGTTGGCTTTCTCTGGTCCATTGTTACGTTCTGAATTCACACTGTTGCCATAGAAATACAGCTTCTCATTGTTTGCTTCTGAAGAAATCATGTCTTGTGCTGCGTCTTCCGTAAGTGAAATTCAGTGTCACTTCTGTCCCCAGGGCCCAGCAGTCCGTGGTGGTGACCGGCAGCCTGGGGACGTCAGGCAGCATCAGGACCCACTGGGTGCTGCTCTGTGACCCCCGGAACAAGCAAACAGCTCCCACCTTCCTCCTCCGTCCCGGAGCGCCCCGCAGGAGCCGCTGTTCTCTGCACTGCTCTGCAAGATGTGAGCAAGCAGGACAGGAATCCCATCAGCGACCGAGGGGAGGAGCGTAACAGGAACAATTCCCTGTCCATGGAGCAGCCAGTGCTGGCACAGGGGGGATCTCAGTCCTGGGACATTCCGGAGCCGTGGGCTCGTGGCGTCAGCTGACAGCATTCACCAGTAATTGCATCTGGTGCGTGACAGCTGCATTTGCTTCACCTTTTGCTCTTGCAAACCTTTGTGTTTGAACATTCCTGGTCTTGCTTCCACCAGATCGAGTAAATAAACGCTATTGAAATGAAAAAAAAAAAGAAAAAAAGAATGAAGAATTGTAGGCCTTGCTGCTTTATCTTCAGAGCACTAAGAAGTGAGCATGGGAGGAAAGTTACTGGCTATGAATTTGCATCTGTGGGGTGACCTCACAGCAGCCTTCCAGTACTGAAGGCAGCCTATGAACAGCTCTTTTCCTCTCCTGAGGATTGGATTTGCCTCGTGTCTCCTGATGCAGGTTCGCATGGCTCTCCTCTTCATGGACAAAACAGGGAGAGCAGAGCCTGAACTCGTAATGCCTGCAGCCGTGCACCAAGGCAGTTGTGTCTGAAGGCTGGAGAGAATCCCCTCCCACCCCCTGTGTTTCAGATCGTTTTAATCTAAAATCCTCTCGAGTGTCTCAGAAGACTGCTAAGATGGGCGATGTTCTATTTGAGCCCCGCTGTCACGGCAAATCTGAGCGTGGAAGTTGGAGAGGAATTTCCTCCATGCATTTATTTCCTTTGCACCCGGTTTGCATGCAGGAACCGGACCAGCAGCTGCTGGAGTTGGAGTCTGGCCTTTAGCTGTAGCTGGAGTTCAGTGTTGGCTGCACGTTGTTTGTGTGCATGGATTTTTAAGGAGGTAAAACCCAAGGGAGGCTGCATATGGGGGTGAGCACTGCATCTGAGCGTGAGGAATAAATGACGAGAAACTGGTGGGAACAGGAGAAAGGTTGTGCTTGCTTGGTTCAGGATGAGCGCAGGGCGGATGATTCCTTGCTTCTTCACTGAATAGAAACATCTGAAAGGAAATACAGTCAGTGGCATTCGGGTTTGGAATGCTTGCTCCCAAAGGGAATCAGGATGTTCTCCCTGCCATCAGCGCCGTGCTGCAGCCGTGGCTCCAAGCCCTGTGGCAGTGGGAGGAGATGCTTCCTCCAGGTGAAGGAACTCTGACACCGACGAAGGTATCGGGCCATAGCGGTGTGGGAACCAGTCACATTTATTTCTGGACACTTCAGAATCATCTCCAGTGTGTTTAGAATCGTGTGAATCATCGAACATTCTCAAATATTAACATTTCATAAAGGCTTCAGCAAATGTATATGAAATCAGTAACACATTTGGTACAGCTTGTAACTTTAGTGGGAAGGAGTGATGAGGTGTGCCTGTCTTGCTCTGAGAAGGGCCCCCAGCGGATGGAGCAGAACTGAAAGCCCTGTATTGCCTCCTGCTTTGTGCTGCGTAAGAATACACAGCAAATATTTCTTCAGTTTAATTTGGAGATGTCTTGAAATCAAATGGACTGACTTGCACGTGACTGATTGCATTGGGCCCATGTGTGCTCCACACAGTGCTTCACTGCAGAATGGTCCCTAGGTGACTCCAGCTTTTGGTGTTCTGGGCTTGTCTCCTCCCTGCCACCATCCTTCTTCAGGCTCGTGGTTGTGTCAAGCTTTGCTGAGCCATCTTGCCTTCCTCGTGCACAGCTCTGTGCTTTGCAGCCTCTTTGCCTTTTTGTGTCCCTCCTGGACTCCCAGCAGTGCAGCTCCAGGCTGTGCCCTGTAATCATAGCCGGCAACAGAGGGCTTACCTGGCGAGTTCTTCTCTTCCTATCGACTGATCAAAGTAATCTCATATTTAGAGCATAGATAACAGTGATGAGAAAGTGACCTCTGGATAGAAGACCCCTCTGGGAACAGTTCATGTTGTGAGAAGCTGAAACAAGTTTTGATCGCTTTGATCGTGCCAATAATAACTGATCCATTTCGTGTGCAGCTTTGTGGCATCTCTTTGGTCTTTAGGTTGCCCTCTTTGAGAAGTCTTGTTTGTCTTACCTCTTTCCTTTCTGAGTTTCATTTTATTTCAGATTTCTGCAGCTAGCACTTAATTCTTGCAAAGGGGAGAGGAAAAAATTAGCCCTGCTCTGACACAAAAGCTGAGAACCTCATTTCTTCCCCGTGTTTGACTCTGAACAAATCTGATGAAGCGGGGGTAGGAGGGAGATCAGCTGAAAGAAGCTTGCAGTTCAATGGAAACATTCCAAAAAGCTTGAAGTTGAAACTCACTGGTCTGGGAGATGCACATCTGCCCTTGCTCTGCTGCGTCACCTTTGCTGTGGAGCTGCCCCAGCCGAGGGACAGAAGGAATGGGTTGCAAAGAGCATCAGCTCAAACAAACGCACCATCAAACTTACGGCAACTCGGTACATTTTGTTGCCTTTCCTGCTTTTACTTCTTAGGAGGTTTTCCTCATGTTTTCTGTAAGGTCATTGGAGGCATTCAGCTTTCTGCAAACCTACTGAAAAGCCAATACCCCGCCTGCAGCTCGCTGCTCGGTAGCAGGATCACTGCAGGCTGCCAAACGCCCTGTCGCCATCTACGCCCAATGTGGTTTGAGGTGAAGGTGGTGGGAGGGACTCTTCAGAGCTCTGAGGATGTATCACACGTGCCTGCTTATCATAGAAGCATAGAATGACTTGAATTGAGAAGGACCACAATGCCCATCTGGTTTTCATGTGCAGGGTCACCAACCAGCAGACCAGGCTGCCCAGAGCCGCAGGATGATGCATTTTGTTCTTGCACTCCTTTCACAGGCAGATCCTTCTGGCCACATCTTGCTGTTGTCGTCGTGGTCGGCGGTGGAGCTGCAGGGCTGTACAGAAAAACAGGGTATCACACAGGGGCTGAGGGTGGCAGGGACACAGGGGTCCTTCTGGACCGCCCCACAGCCAGGGCAGGGGGTGCAGCTTCACATCCAGGTGGGGCCAGAGACCTCAGAGGAACAGATCTCCTTCCGGTGGCACTTTGTCTCTTGCAGTGCAGAACAGCATTGGCCTTCATAGAATCATAGAATCACAGAACGGTTGGGTTGGAAGGGACCTCAAGGCTCACAAAGCTCCAACCCCCCACCAATGCAGGGCCACCAACCTCCCCATTGCACAGCAGCCCAGGCTGCCCAGGGCCCCATCCAACCTGGCCTCCAACACCTCCAGGGATGGACGGGGCATCACAGCCTCTCTGGGCAGCTGTTCCAGCCCCTCCCCGCTCTCACAGCACACAACTTCCCCTCACATCCAACCTCCAGCTGCCCTCCCTCAGCTCCAAACCATTTCCCTCGTCCTGCTGCCATCTCTCCTTTCAGAGAGTTGGAGAATTGCCTTCTTGGCAGGAAGTGCACAGTGCTGGCATTGTTCAACCTGGTGCCCATCAGGACTGCTGGTCCCTCTTATGCCTCTGTTGGAGAACAGTTTTTCCTCCATAGGCAGCTTCAGGAAAGGTTGCACTCGTGCAGTCAGTAGAACATTTGCATTTTATCAGCAGCATCGGCCTAGAGCTGAATAGATTGCAGTACACAGAGTGAGCAGAGCACAGACCACTCAAAGCACACATGCAATGCTGTATTCCTGCTGCAGTGATGGATAGCTTAACAAACTCTTAACAGATCAGTGCTGTGCTTCAAGCAGCA